AGAACCCAGTAGTCTTTCCTTTTGACTCAGACTCTGTGCAGGCAGTGGTTGGCCTGTGGTTTTGTCATACCTACTTACATTCTCTTTTCGCCCTTGGAGCTTGAACTGAGATGGCGAGCGCATGTGGCATCCCTCACGGACCTTTGCTCGGACCTCGTGCTGGTGTACCCTGCCGTGAGGGGTCTCAGGGTGACGAGCAGCGAGCTTGAAATCGTTGAGGGCGGAGCCTCCTCAAATTGTTCACCTTCTTTCCGAACCTCACTTCCCCGTCCCCGGCCGCCTGCAATTTCAACATGAACCCTGGCCCAAGCTTTCGGCCGCTTCTGTTTAGAGGCTAGCTACCGGCTTGCCGACTGTTTTGCAGTCCCTGAACCGTTTAGTGAAAAGCTTGCGGTACCTGTCACCATTCCATCAGGGAAGCCGAACCAGCCTGCCCTTATGCGACCCACTGTGGCGAACCCGACAGCCAAAAGCTTAGGTTTCCAGTACACAACTGGCTGATGACGAGTTGCGCATGTTTTGTGGCATCTTTAATTTCAAGTTTGCAGTATGCTTAAGCATTTCTATAGGCGAATACGGTATAGTCATGATAATGTATTCCGCTGTAATAGGACACTCTACCCGAACATTCCGGGGCCACAAGCCTGCAAGGAGGCTGCCTTCGACTTCCTCCCCCAGGCTGCACTGGAAGCAGGTTGAGGGCTTTCATCATCTTAGGGTTTGACGGTTTGGGGTTTCTGCAGTCGCAATAGGCCTGGATGCAAAAAGGGTATCAGGATTTGTGGTTGACATCAGTGAGCCCAGATGCAAACAAGGGTTTTTAGGGTCTGGGGCTGCAGGGCTTCGACATGGCTTGAGGGGCTAGCAAAGGTTTGGATGGTTTCATGGTCATCATCATTCATTGTGCTTGGGAGAAATGATACTACGCTTCTTGCATCGCATCGCGTGGTCGCTGCTACAGCTTCTATTTCGCGGCTGTGGTTCTCGATTTTACCAATGCAGGGCGATTGCGATGGTTGTGGTTGTTCTTGTTCTTCTCATTCTATTTTTCTTCTGATTGTACTTGCTGGCCACCAGAGGCAACACATGGAAGTTGTGCCTCCCGTCTTTCATGACAGGATGATGGGATCCTTTTGCGTGTCGCCGCGGGCTCAGCAGACCGACGGCAGAAGACAGCGAGACAAAACTGCTTGTGTATCCTCTTCCATGCCATGCAGAGGCCAAGGACTTCAACTTCGGATAGGGGGGAGCTGTTTCTCAGTCTTTCGCAGGCTTGCTGAAGATGCCGTGCTGAGGCCAGCGATCTGCCGGAGTGTGGAGGCCAGTGAAAAGTTGAGGGAGCAGTACCAGCAGCAGTAGCAGTCGCTGTGTGTCTACACGTGCGCAAATTTACGCACGCACGCACACACACGCACACATGTCGATATCATATATACAACATTCTCTCTCTCTGTCTCTCTCTCTACCTAAACATGCACAGACATACATACGTACGTACGCACGCACACACGCAGGGATGGAGGGATGGATGGTTGGAATGTACGGTAATGTAATGTGTGTATGCATGGATAGATGGATGGATGCATGGATGTAAACAATGTATGTATGAGTGTGTGTGCATATGTTTCTGTTTGTTGCGGTTTCGCGCTGGCATGTTCATAAAGTCCGATCCTACGTAGGCAAAGAGCTCAGAAGCTCCATCTGGCCTGAGAAACTCCAACACAACAGTCTCAGGCCCTGCGGTTTTTCAGGACTGGGTCTTTTCAATGCTGCTGCAGCTGTGGGTGCAATGGGAGTGCGCCGATTTAGGATGCGGTTGTTTAGAGTTTAGAGTTTGCCAGCTATTTAAGCTCACGTCTACAGGCTTCGAGAAGTAACAGCCCACGTGTCCTACATTGGTGTTGAGCTTGGATGTCTGGAAATTCCAAAGTTGGACGTGTTTGACATTTTTACTTGGCGGCTCTCTTTGGACTTCAACACCCGAGTTCAGGGTATGTCCGCGGGTGACGTTATCTCTTTGACCAGAAGTCTGCTGCTTCCAGCGACTTCAGCACACTTAATAGCCCGAAACCCTTATAGGTGTTGTCGTTGCTGCTGAAAAGCTCCCGCTAGTACAGTCTCAGAACTTGTTAGCAGACCTCCAACCATATGGGAGTTTCCGAAAATAGAGGACCCCAATGTAGTGCCCTAAATTCCTTATCATAAGGACCCCAAAATAAGGTACCCCTAATTTTCGGAAACTCCCATATGCCTCGCCTAAATTGTCCGAGTAAGCCTTCGGCCCGATCCCTTTGGTGCTTTGCTTGTCCGTTCTCCGGAAACCCTAGTAGTAGAGGAGGCGACCTTGAACCTTTTTTGGGTAGTATAGTTCCTTTATCACCAAAGAGGTTAACCTTTAGTTCCCCATGATACCCGACAAGTAGGAACTCCTAGCCCAGAACCCTCAAACAAGGGCATCTTTGGACAGTCCTCTGGGAGCTGTTAGCAAAAGCAAGTCTTGAAGTTTATGAGTTCCCACAACTTGTGTACTTGTGTTCACAACATCCCGGCGCCGAAGGTTTGCAAACTTGCTGCACTTGGTTCTTGATCATGTTCTTTGCATGAAGATGACATGTACTCCCTTGGAATTTTTGCTTGAATGAGCGACGTTCGGATGTTGTACTAGTTGCTAGTTGACCTAAACCCTGCTCAGTGCGAGTGTGCGAGTCGAAACCCTATGCTCCCAGCTATGCCCAGAACTACTCGCAGGAGGCAGCGAGCCTGCTGGAAGAGATCGAGCGGGCTTCTCGGAATGCTGAGCAGTTTCCCGAAGAAAAAGGAACCTCTGTAGATCCCTTTAAAGAAACCCCTATATTATCCCTTTAAAGAAACCCCTATATTATCCCTTTAAAGGAACCCTAGGGACCCCTGAGCCAGGATCAAAGGAGCCCTGAGCCGTCCATGGACTCTACCTGCAATGCAGGAAAGGAATGTGTTTTTCCAAAACCGGGGCTTTAAAGGTTCTAAAGTTCAAGCGCCTAGTTGTGCAACGCCTGAATGAACCTCTGCCTGGTCGTAACTCTGACAATTTGACAAGTCGGGCTCTTGCTGTTGATTCCCTTCTTGCTGCTAGCAAGAAGCATGGCAAAAAGATCGTTGCCACTGCTGTTGTTGCTCCTACCCCGACTCCCACTCCGACTCCTCCTACTACTTCCACCGCCGCTAGCACTGATACTATCTCCTCGCTGCTGCACTGCACTACTGCTACTACTACTCCTACTCCTACTCCTACTCCTACTACTACTACTGCTACTACTGCCACTTCTGCTGCTACTACTGCTACTACTACTGCTACTACTACTGCTACTGCTCCTACTACTACTACTACTACTACTACTACTACTACTACTACCACTACCACTACCACTACCACTACCACTACCACTATTACGACGACGACGACTACTACTACTACTACTACTACTACTACTAGTACTACTAGTACTACTGGTACTACTGTTGCTACTACCGCTGCCACTGCCACTGCCGCTGCCGCTGCCACTGCCACTGCCACTGCCACTGCCACTGCCACTGCCACTGCCACCACCACCACTACCACCACCACTACCACCACCACTACCGCCACCACTACCACTACCACTACCACTACGACTACCACTACCACTACCACTACCACTACCACTACCACGACCACTACCACTACCACGACCACGACCACGACCACTACCACTACCACTACCACTACCACTACCACTACCACTACCACTACCACTACTACTGCCTACTCCTACTCCGACTCCTACTCCTTCTACCTGCGACGACGACGACGACTGCTGCTACTTCTCCTCGGTACGACGACGAGGACGACCAGGACTACTACTACAACGACAACAGCGCACCACCACGAGGGCAACCGCAGCCGCCAAAGCTGCTACCACTACCACTGCTTGCATCATTAAAGCAACCACTGCAACACCTACGACGACGATGATGCACGACGACGATGTCGACTACTACAACTGCAACGGTCGCAACTACTGCGTGGCATTCTGCGGGTGTTGCATGAGGACGATTGTGGGGACAGGCTTCGGCAGAAGATGATGAACACGCTTCTGATGTTTGCTGATTTGGGTCTGGAGGCAGCATCATGTTGCAATGCTCCGCGAGCTCCACGAGGCAGAGTGGTGAATCAGGTAAACACTAATGGCATTTTTGCAGATTTGGCATGCAGGAAATCGTAAGAATTGTCGATTATTCCCGGCCCTGTTCCTGGTGATCTGGGTGTACTGTCGGGTGTTTCGGGGGGTTCGGGTAAGTCGCAACGCAGCTGGCGAGTATCGGGCATGCACTGAAAGACGCTCTCAGCCGCCAGTAAGAGATTGTAGACTTCTCTTTGGGTCTTTGGACCAGCTAAGCAGCTACTATAGGGGCCTTAATAATCACCTATACTATTTTGGGGGTTCCTTATCATAATTGTGGCAGATATAATGGACACCAAAAACCAGTTCTAATTATTAAGGCCCCTATATTCTAATCGAAACAGAAAGGCTTGAGTTTCCTTAAACCGGTTCGTCTTTGCCAAAACTGATAACAAATTCTTCCAAACAACCCAACTACCCACCCACTATGCGGGCTCGTCCTGGCCAAGTCGGAGGCAAGCAGAGCCCCCCCAATCTTTTCTTCGACTTGAAGCTTGAAAGTGTAGACAAAACATGACCCATTAAATATATGTGAGGCCTGCAAACAAGCTTGCATTAAATCTGGGCGGTTTCGGATCGGGGCAAAACTGCGCTTGAATTACTTACATACTTGTAGTCTCGGCCCTTCCAAAAGACTGCCGCATCAGGTCAGGCTTTCCCACATCTGCTGGATCCACTCACAGACGTCTCGAGTGTTGCAGACCCTGCGCGAACTCCTTTGGCTCAAGACTCCAAGCTGAGAAGCTCACGACTCCGTGGCGACATTCCGTACGTTGAGTGCGAGATACCATTGCATCCCCGATGATGTTCACGGCAGCCGTCGTCCTCATCAGCTTTGTTTCGTGCATATCGGAGCAAATTCGGCCACCAGAGCATCAGTCATTGCAGCACCTTACATTCCTGGAGGTTCTGCATGTGGAGCAGGGGTTGGAGCGTGGGGTGGAGGCAAAGACAGACACGACTTTGCGACGGATGCCCAGCCTGGCAAACTTGGTTGTCCAAGGCCCCGGTATGGTTCTGCAGGCTTTGACGAGTTTCGCGGCGCTCCCGGACGCCTTAGAAGACAAGTAGCCTGGCTGTCCTCGGAGATGCGCCTGTTAGCTTTTCTTGATTGCTGGGAACCCCAGACCCCAAACCCTACTTGGAGTTTCATGGGTAGTTATAAGGTGGGATTATAAGTCCCCTAATATGGGTTATACTTATGGTTACCCCACTGATAACCCCACTTAAAATTACCCATGAATCTCAAAGTAAGAACCCTTAGTAGCTGAGTGGAGACACTTTACACTTCTGGGGGTAATATTACCCACAATAAAACTGAAAGTGTACACTTCTTGGGGCTTATGAACTCAGCAACTAAGAGCCCAGGTACAAAGATGACTCGGCCTTGGGCAGCGGCACCTTTGGCGTCACTTTCCTGGCCACCAGGAAGGCCGACAACCAGAAGCTCGGCTACAGGGCTTCACCCCTCAGCCACCTGTGGCATTCAACCAACCTAACTTAGGCGGGGAGAAAGGAGGGTTCAAAAATACAAAGGTTACAGGGTTTATGTAGGATTGGTAGGCTTTAGCACTAGGGGGTGAATGGGGTAAGTAGGCCCTTGGGATGTTTTCCCTGTTTGGGGGTTAAGCGGATCCTATGTAGGAATATTTCTTCACAAACGTTTTTGGGGCCAACTTAGGAAGGTGGCTGTAAAGGTCTTCAAGGTTGGCAAAGACTGGGCGACGCCGGGAAATTGCAGATCAGCGGAGTGCAGGGCTCTTATCGGTTCCAGTGCTTCGGAATGTCTGGACACCCAGCGACTCCCAGCTGCTCAGAACATGCATTTTTTCCATAAAGAACAAGCCAGGATCAACAACAGATGCATGTGTTCTTTAGCCTGGAGCTTGATATGGAGATGCTAGTCGACGAAGCCCTGCCACCCCAAACCCCGCAAAGGACCCGAACCCTTACGAATGCACCTTGAAGTTACCGGGAGTTAGCTCGCTGAGGCATCCATTCGGCTGATACTCTGGACAGCGAGGCGTCCGAGCACGTGGTCAATTGCTTCTACGATGGCATCACAGGTCACCGGTGAAGTTGTTGTTCAGAGTGTGACCAGCTCAGACTTCGACTTTGATGCGTAGTGAGACGTGTGTGTGTGTGTTTGTGTTTTGCAAAGAAACTTGACTTAATGTTGCTGTTTTTACTCGCCTGTAGTCCCCAAGATCAAACAGATCAGCTTTACGGGAGGCCATACCGCCGCTAGTCAGCCATATTACATCGAAATGAGCTTTGCTGGCCGCGACGATGTGGACAAATGGTGGGGGAAGAAGTTGAAGGAGCACCTCGTCGCTGATGCCGACTATGTGCAACACTTGAAGTCGGTGGCCAAGGGCGTCTACCTCGGCCTCAAGTTCATGGCTGAGAGCAAAGGCACGAACAAGTGGGTTCATATGGACCTGAAGCCTCAGAATATGGTGATCAACGAGGAGATGGTCGAGCATTTGGCCATCAACTTACAAAAAATATTTGGTTTTATATGAGAATGTAAGAATGATGATATCATATCCATCATGTGATCAACACGAGTTGACATGATAATGAGTAGTAAGTGCATCGCGTAAAGTACAGCCAGGGATTGGCTTTTGCTGTTGTCCGAAGCGTCTTGTCTACTTCGAAAGTTGCTTCGGCTCTGTTCTATAGCCGATAAGCCATAAGTCCTTGACGTAAACCGGTAGACTCAGTCATGCCAGATTGCTGTGAGTGGGCTCTTAAGCTCCACGTACCCGACTTACCAAACGCACCTTGCCCCTTCAAATTCATCCAACCCCTCCCGAAGCTGGCCACAATATCCCCAAGTATCTACAAGGGCCCCTCTTTTCTGGATACACATCATAGACCCGTTGTTTGGAATAAATGGGTAGTGGAGACGACGAAGCTAAAAGTCCGGAAGGACACTGGTCAAACGGTTATCGTCGACATGGGCACCGTGGTTTGCCAAGGGCCAGGTTGCACGAGCACACCCAGAGGCACCACCGCAATCTTCCGACCCCCCGAGGTCTCGAGCCGGATTAAACTGGAGGGGTTTGGGGTTTAGTGGCTACCGTCTGGTTGGATAGAATTCTGGATTCAATTTCCGGAGGGTGTAGATCCCACCCAACATACTACACACACAGAGAAAACATCCCTAAACACTAAAAACATACTGTGGGAAAACTTGGCCCCCAGAGTGTCCCTTTCAAAATAAAGCCGGTCCAGTTCTACAAACCGGTTTCGGTGGCAAGCGACCATCCCAGATCTGAAGCGAGAATCGGTTGCTGCTTTCCATTGGGCTTAAACTGAAGTGGTCTCAAAGCTTACCCTAAACCCTTTGTGTTCCAACAGTGTGGGAATGCAGATGAACAAACACTGTCGCTTGGTGCTTTCGAGGATCGTGTGACCTACATAAGTAGAGAGAGGCTTTGTAGTCAGGATTATTGGTGCTACAATGGGAATGGTTAAAGCTTTTGCAACTGGCGTCGTAAGTGGGGAAACTACTTTGGTTGTCAGTGTTTTGAAGATTCCTGGCGATGGCACACCGGGGCTGCAAGTGACGAAGAGGATAATCCCGACTGACTGCAGAGAGGGTTGCGCAACAGAGCTGTGGTTGTTCCGAGGGGCGAGTTGCACTGTGAACAGGCCATCAAGACGAGATTCGAACATCCAACATCGAATCAAATCAGTCTCGTTTGGCAAGAAGAGAAAACCGAGAGGACTAAAGAAGCCACAAGCAGCCGTTTAAAAAGACTGTGATGAAGCAGAAATGTGATTCGTAAGTGAAGAGCTGTACTGCATGCGTCTTTGCCAAACTTCTTACCTCGCCTGTGGACTTCGATTCCAGCCATGCGAGAGGGAAGAACCCTCAACCCTAAATAGTCCAAAGCCGTCTTCACCAGGCCCTGTACACCCTCAGGCGTTCTTTAACGCAATCTGCGTAGTTTTACTCAAGGACCTTATGTTTAGCCTGTGACATGGCTACTTCTACAGAACTTGCATCTCAGAAGGTTCGGTCCTTGAACAACCGTTTACGGTCAGTATGTACATAAGAAAACGGCGCCTGGCATCTTACCAAGCCGTGGTGAGGTTCCACACCTTTCTCTCTTTCATCCGGGGGTAGAATGGCAGTCGCCGGTGTGGTCCTTCGACGTACACTCCGCTGCTTCTGGGTTCTTGTTAAGGCACCTCGTTCAAGTTCAAGTGGCCATAATTATTAGAAGCCATAGTGCAAACCATAGATCCCTACTATGGTAACTTCAATTAAACTCTTGATATTTACTATAGAGCCCTAAACTTAAATTAGAAAATCCTTAACAAGCACCCAGGCTTTGTCCATCCTTGGCATGGCAACGGATGGGAACTCCGGGTTGGTGATGCCAGACGGAACCGCCCTTCATGCAGTACCCGTCCTTCCATACATGCTCACGAACCTAGGTATCGATTTGGGATTATGTTTAGATACCCTTGTTGTTTGATACAGAGTGCGAATTATAAGTTAACTTTGTGGGGGCTGTTGAGATCGAAACCTAGGAACGAAGTTCAGACCAGAATGGCAAATTGGCGTATGGTGAAGGAGGTTGTGGACTGTGGGCGTGAGATCGGCATGCCCGGCACAACGCAATTCTTAAATGGCTTGCTCAAGTGTACGAATGATAACTCCGTCGTGCTATACAAGATGTTCCTGGGCTCTCGTTAATGAAGGAAACTTCCAGTTGCAAAAAGCTTCACGGCAGCTACCACAATGCAAACATCTGGCACAGAACATGGTTCCCCGCTTCTGGTAATGGTAGCGTAGTGTTAGTTCCTTAGCAAGGTCATACCAGAACCCAGGTTGTTCGATCAGCGTCTTCAGGCGATCCGGAAAGCAACTGGCGACAAGCGAAAGGCAGCATGGGCGAGTCTCGTGCACTGCCGCACCTCCAAGAGGTTTGCCACCGCCCTCTACCCTCTTCCCGACCTGCAGGCCCTGAAACTATAGTCGCCTTAGGAATTCTTTTCTATTTTTGTTCATATAAACCCCAGGGAATATTTAAAAGGTTTTTTGATTATGGTTCTAAGGCGGATATAGGAGATGTTGCGTTCCAACTACTTTGGTCTTTCTCAGAAGTCTCGTGGGTTTTTTGAGTTTAGTTCCAGGCTCCAGGTTTACTTTAGGGCTTGATCAGAGTGCTAAATTAGAGAGTTGCTGGGGCATGATGATGGCTTTGGGGTTTCGGGTAGGCGGTGGCCTCTAAACCCTGCAGACAGTCGAATTCTTACTTTTTCTATCCGGGATGAGAGTTGAGGCTGAAGGTGTTAAGAGGTCTGGAGCTTGGCAGTTTCTGCCACAAGAGGTTTCGGGTTTGGAATCTTTGCACCCTGAAGACCTTAGGATGATGCCTTTGGTTCTTTTCCTAATTTGTTCTCGCAGCTACCAAAGCTTTGGCCGCTGCGATACTGATAAACGGAAGAGTCTTTTGCCTACGGTTCAGGATTTAGGGTTCAAGGTTTGGTGTCTTAGGTTGCTTGTGAGGTCAATCCCTCAGCCCCAACCTCCACCCCAAACCCCGAACCCTAAACCTTGGCCTGCCCAGAGTTCGCAAGTCGAAACCTTAACCCCAAAGCAAGCCACGTACTACACCTACTACTGATGGAGTAGGTGTAATACGTGGCTTTACCTTGTGTTATCTTGTTCCTACGAGAGACCTACTCCCATTGTCGGAGCTTCCAATGCGAGGCCCCCCTCTCCCAAGGCCTCGCTCGACTCCTGTCCTCTGTGGCACTAACTTCTGTTCTTTGTGTTTCTTCAAGAGGGGTTGAGCGTCGCCTGCAGTCTGACTGTGCGCACTAAGAACCTCGTCTGGCAGTGTCCGAGTTGCGAGAGCGTAACCCCAAAGCTGCAAGATCCAGAGGCTCACGAAAGAAACCCGAAAGGCAACGAAAGTGCCGAAGTTCTTCTGGACCCTGATTGATGACTGGATGAAGACAGGCTTCGACGAGGTACTCCTGAAGGCACCGACCGCACGGTTTAGGGGTTTAGGGATTTGCACCTAGGGCCTTTAGGGTTTATTTGGGGGGCGGTCAAGCTTTTGAGCAGTAAGCCGGCGAAGATACCCACAGTCATCCCTTGAGGCAGGGGTAAGCCCCAAACTCTGATGCGATCTCAAAGGCTACTCCCCCTTGCCCCGAAACCTTGACTGCCAGAAACGTTTAGGGTTTAGGGTGCTGTAGATTTGGCATTGCTCTACATTGTGGGCTCTTGTTGGACACCGGAAGTACAATAAGAGATATGTCATATGTCACACATCAAGACAAGGATCCAAAGAAAGACAGTTTTCCAAGAACACGAAGTTCTGCGTGTTTGGGAAGCAGGCTGAGGTGTCGGTAATGCAGCTCACCTGGAATCAATGAGCGTGTCCACTCGTACCCCCGACCGACCGAATGCTGTTGCAGCTTGCCAAGCCGAGCCTAAAACCCCAAGCCCTAAACTAAGGCACCTAAACACTGCTACGCCCCTAAGCCCTAAGCCCTAAAAGCCATGTGTTCCCTAAAAGCGCTGACGTGTTGAGTTGGGATCTTGCGAAGGGAGGAGTCATGTGGCATGCTGTTTAGTTTGGTCTTGTGTGACATTCTGTCGTTGTGTGGGATCACGTTTTGATTCTTAGTCGTAGTCTCACTCAGCAGACCTCGAACCACGTGCCTCGCCTGGATTGTCGGAGTGTGAGCGCCGAAAAGCCCTGTGTGTCGCGACCCTGAATCCTCTTCCGTCTGGTTCTTAGTCGGGAATGGGGAATGGATCCTTATAGTAGCCCCTATACAGTTCCCAACAATAGTCTCCATACTCCATTCCCCCATTTCCTGCTAAGCACCAGACTGCCTTGGAAGGCTCTTAGCACCACGCCAGATGAGCGTCCCAAGCCCAGTGAGATCCTGGAAGCGCATCTGGGTTGCCTTTTAGGGTTTCAGAGTTTAGGGTTTTGGTAAAAGGGAACCTGGGATTCTCGGGGTTAAGGGCTAGCTTGAGGGTTTAGGGTATGGGTTTTGACGTACCATAACTACACGGAAAGCACTGAAAAAAGGATCCCAAGAAAGGGTCATGGATCTTGAGGATCAGGGGCCCCACGCTCAACCTGCTGAACTTTAGGCCCGAAAAAGAGCAGGTGGTTTTAGGTTTCGGGTTTGGGGCTTGTCAACACAAGAAATCAGTGACCACCGGGTGAGTAAAGGTGTCCCAGGTTAACGGAGGGGTCGAGGGTCTAGGGTTCTGGAACCCTGAGACTTAGGGTTACTGCCACGAGTGCAGCGGCTCGAGATCCAGGCGGGCATATACAAGTCTGTGCAAAAGGCATGTTTGGGCCAAAGCCACAAAGAGACGAGCACAGCCGCATAGGCACGGATCTCTCTACTTCAAGGCTCAGGGAATCTGGTAAGCAGGCTATCAATAAGACCCTGGTTTCTGTCCTACTTACACAGTTCCTCGAGCCTTGTCAGAATATGCTCGTAGACTACACTGTATGGTCGGCAATTTGACGCCAGCAAGGAGTCACCGTGGATTTATCGCGGCGAGCAAGGATTTCTCAGTATATCGGTACCTCAAGCCTTCAAAATCCCTAAGCCCTATGATATAGGGGCCTAGGAATAATTACCAAAACTATTTTGGGAGTTCCTTATAGTCAATTGTAGTTTAATGGGCCCCAAGACCCTATTCTAATTATAATGCCCCAATGTTACCCGAAACCACCTCTAAACCGCCTGAACCCTAAACGATCCCAGGCAGTGGTTCAACGCAGATAAGCCGAAGGCCGTCAACTGCGGGTAGACGTTGGGTTTAGACATCCGTAGAACAACCCCCTTTGGGGGGTTTCAGCGCTAGCACTACCACGCAGGTCTCGGGCACGTCGGTGGAGTTCACTTGCCCAGACTACTTTACGGACTCCCAAGCCTATTATCAAATTTGTGCGGGCTTTGTTTCTGCCATCTTGCTCATGTTGACCGCCTGCGTTTGCTGCTGTGGAACTTGCAGCACCTGCTGTTGCCAAATTCCGGCTTGGAAGTGGGCCAGCGTCTGGGCAGGCATCTTGGTCGTGGCCACTCCTTTTTTCGCATTCTTCTTGATGAACCCCTCGATCGTCATTCCCTGCGTGTTCTTGCTTCTCATGGTCCCCCTCGGCCTGGCGATGATTTGCCTTCAACCTGTTGCAGAACGTGCAGGGAAGGGCTCAGCGGAGAAGCAAAAGAAGGTGAAGCTGGGAATCATCGGGCTGAGCGCGGTGCTGGCCCTCGGTTGCAGCCTCTGCGTCTTCAGTCCCACAGCAGCTGTGGCCTTGATTCCTCCAGACCTGACGTTCGGGCCGATCCCAGTTGGCGGGACTGCCTGGTTTTTAGTAGGGAATGGGGGAATGGATCCCTAGAGTAGTCCCTATATAATCCCCAATATTCGTCCCCATAACCCATTCCCTTATTCCCCAGTAAGAACCAGACAGGAGAATGTATTTGTGGGCTGGGCTGGCGGCGTCTCTGAACCTCGGCCGGCCGGCAGTTCTCTATACTGTGATTTCAGGTGTCAGTGTGATGATTCGGGGCTCTGATGCCCGAGATGTCTCAACAGAAACAGGATCTACGGTGGAGCTTCAGGCACGCGTATAAGGGTGTTGATTGTTTGTCGTCTCGGCAGTGGGAAGTGCAGTCACAGATTTGCACATGCCCTCTGGGTTGACAGTGTCTGGCGATTGCACAAGGATGCACAGAAAGCTTCAGGCTGCATGATGCGCGGAAGGAAAAGGCACCGCGAGTGGCAGAGATGCGGCCGAAGTCATGGAGGGAGCATCCCGGGTGGTTGCCGTGTTCCCACACGCCTTGAATACGTGGCTTCGGGGGCCCCCACGCGGTCCAGGGTTCCAAAAGCAGGGGGATTTCGGATTGGAGCGAGCGAAATACCTTATTTGGGGGCCCTTATAACATGGATCCTGCTATTTGGGGTACTCTAGTGGGGTCTCCTATTTTGGGAAATATCAAGACTGTCAATACTCTGAACCGCGAGAATTAAGCCCACGATTCCTGCTCCGACAGCGATGAGTCGCATCCGCGCGACACACAGTTGGAGAGCATTCCTATAGGGCCCCAAAAAAGCACATAAGCAAAAATTCGGATAGGGATATCCCATATAAACCCTCTTATAATGAAGCCCATCGTGGTAGGGATATCCCCATAAAATGCTTATGCTTATGTGCTTTCTTTGGCCCCTATCCTATTGTATCACTATAGTATGGTATCTTATAGTATAGTATATTACAGAAGGGTAAGCTATGCAGTCGTCAGACGCGCCATGCGGGAGCCAAAATTACAGAAGAGTATATCATAGTACGATCAGCAATCAGCAGCCCTGGCTCTGGTGCCCTGCAGCTTGAAGAAGCGAACCCTTGGAGAGACAATGAGGCCTGTGCGATTCTGGTCACTTTGCTCCAATCTTATTATAGCGTATGCCCGACTACCAGAGCAGCATCTGTGCTTGCCAAAAACGATACAAGTCCCTCCAAGGCTCCTCAAAAAAGAATCCTCCGACCCAATTCGAAGACGAAACCCATGCAAGGCCCGCAATCCCACAAAAGATCCAAAAAGGCGCTGCTGGCCGTGTCAGAGCGTGCGAGCCTTGGTCGTCGTGTCTTGTATTCCCGACCTCGGAGACTTTTGATTGTGATTGTCGACAGCGTTGCCTGGAAATGTGTTTGTAGGAGTGATTGAGATGGCTGAAGTTGTCCACAACACTGGTGTTGCTTGTTTTGTTCAGGCTGTGCAAAACAGGAAACGCTTAATGCGCTGCACTCCGCTCAGGGCTCGTGGGATTTGTTTGGAGGTGTCGTGCCTTTAGGGCCACGATCGACTAGTGCTGTCAGTGCGGCCCATATTCTCCACTTGAGTGGCGTGCGCACCGTTATTTCCCCCGCGTGAACCCTCTTCTGATATGACGCCCGAATCGAGAACCCTAGAGCGAGTGCTGAAACCTGCAAACCCTAATTAAGCTTGTCCGAGAGTGAGTGTCAAAAATTAAGCCCTCTTGAGTTATGAGCGGTTGTCAAAATTGTGGCCCCTTTTTGGGTACCCTAAATGTTAAGTGCCGTATTGTAATAGGGACCCAACAAGGGACCCTAATATTGACAACCACCCATATGAAGCCCAAGCAAACAAATGGGTCTCGAAAGCGACACCTTTGCGATGCACCAGGCGGCAGCAGGCGCTCCTTCCATCCCGCGCCTTGACCTTAGCATGAGGGGCATCGAGTGCAATTTAGGGGTTTAGGGGTTTAGGGTTTCGCCGGGCATCGAGGGCAACGTCATTGGGCCTCGCAAGAGGATTCTGGAAGACCCTCGCATTCTGGAAAAATAGGCACGGCTCAACGTTGATGTGCAGTCACAGGCACCCTGTGCACATACCCGCTTTCATAATTTAATACCCAACATGTCTCACATCCAGCCCATCAACTACTGTACAGAATTACTAGTGTAAGAGGTATGTTGGCAGGATAGTCAACTGAAGTAGCACGTGCTTGTGCCTGCACATCTCGCGATAGTTGCAGCAGAGTCTTGCAGAGGTGCACGCTGCCTGGCTTCCTGTTCTTTCGTGCAGTTCTAGATTCTGGATTATTCGTCGTGGCATTTCAAGGACTTATTTGCCCTTCTTTCCGTACCTGCTAATGGCTCTCCACCAGCGCAGCTGCCTCAGAAAACAGGGAACCAATGGCTCAACACGGACACTGTTGATGTGCCTGACGGGCAAGGAGGTTGCTGGGGTTGTTTCGACTTCGACCTCTGATTTGTGTTTGATCATGCTCAAGGCACTTCTTGTCATAAAGGGGGGCGTCAAAGCAAGCTCGTGTGTTTCGAGGTGCGAGCCGAGTCTCTATTGGAAGACCCGGGCTTCGGACACGGTTCAGGGCTAGGGCTTGTTTAAAGTTTAGGTTTTAAGGGCTTAGACTGGGCTGCTGGACAACGCGGCCTGTTGCAAAAAGGGTTTAGGGGCCAGGGTTCAATGAGACACTGGAGGCCTGGTTGTTGGCCAATGTTGAAAGGGGCATGGTCAGGCAGAGTGGCATGCTTCCGCCTACTTGTGTGCGCCTGCTTCTACCGATGTCTAGGTTTTCTGCACACCTGCGCATATAGTTCATGCACAAGCACTTCCTTTGCACATAGCCGTCTACCTTTGCATACCAATTGCAATACTTCGGCAGCATCTGCATGGTCTCTTACATATGCATGCATGCATGAATGTACTGTGATGTATTGTAGCGTGGTGCAACGTAGTGTGATGTAGCGTGCGTAATGTAGCGTAAGGTAGTGTAGCGTAATGTACTGTGAGGTAATGTAATGTGCTGTAAGGTACGTGTGTATGTTTGCATGCATGCACGCACGTGCATACCTACGCACGTACATAGGTACGTATGCATTCATGTTTGTATGGAAATGCAAGGCAATGCAATAGTGAAATAGTGTAAGGTACTGTCGGGCAATACAGTGTAATGTATTTTATATATCTTATACATATATATATATATATATATATATATATAGTAATGTAGCGTAGTGCAGCGGGATGTAACGGATCGGACCTGGGCCTCGAAAGGCACCGGGAAGGCGGACTACTTGCACTGCATCGCACGAACTGCAGCCACTTTGGTCGCCCGTGCCTGCTTCAGGTTTATACCTTTAAACCCCCAAACCCAGAAACCCCTAAACCCTGAACCCCATTATTCGAACCATTTGCCTTGCCTGGATTGTCCGAGTGTGAGCGCCGAAACCCCATTATAGACTTTGGCTGCTGGTCGGAGGGGGTCCGGGTAGTTGGCGTTGAGAAGAATTGACTGGACTGATCTGATTCTGGGGAGGCCGCTGTGGAGCATCTCCATTGTCACGACCCTTTTTGTGCCACCGGCCATGTTGCGTTCTGAAGCTGTTCGGCCGGGATTTAGTCAAGGCGCACAAAGCAATTGTGCAGTGGAGTGCACCCAAACACTTCGGGTAAACAGGGATGGCAAGCACAGTCCATAAGAAACACAAGCTCTCCACCAAGCAGTACAGCAGGTGCCTCGTAAGCCCTTACCCAGAAGCGACATCTCGAATCGCTAGAGTAGAACCTGCTGGAGAGCCCATGATTGCGCCACGCAGCATCGGCTCCACTGGCACTGTGAAAGCCTCCAAGCACTGCTCACCCACCGGTCACTCAGATGAGCTTCTTTGCGTTTAGGACCTGAGGTTTGAGGGTGTCCAACAGTTCCAGAGTTTTGTGCATCAGTCTACGCGAGGCTGGGAAGCAGCTACAAAAACTAGTCAATGTGGTACTGATTGGTACTGTACAAGTTAAGAACAACAATAACACAGGGTACCAAGAAGGAGAAGATCACATGCAAGATGCCCCTTAGCCCTTGCATGTGGCTTCACACGTGAGTTCTCGACAGGATGAGGAAGAAGGCCTTACCACTTCGGGTCCGAAGGATAGGGGTCGCATTTGTGCATTGCTCGTGCTGCTCTCCGAGGATATGATGCTGGCAAGACTTGGGAGGCCGAGATTAGGTTCTCGCATGGTTTGAGTGTTTGCGAGTTTTTGGATGTAGCGTTTTGAAGATTTGGGGTTTCAATCCGGCTTCAAGTATCGGTGAATCGGTGGTTGTGGGGTTGGGCCTCTGCATCCAACACCGAGCACTGAAGTTGTGCGGGTCGGGAATGGTTCGGCTCGTGCCCACTCATTCGTCGCAGCATACTACTATTAGGAAGTGTTATTGTTGTTGGCATTGCTACTGTTGTCATTATTAGTTTTCGTATCATCAATTATTAGGAATGCTTTTTTCTTACTATTGCTGTTACTCTCATGGTTTCTGTCATTATGAGCTTTTGAGGAGACTGCAAAGTGTAACCTAAAGCGCTCAGTAGCAACAGAGTCCGTTGGTCTCCAGCCCCAAGCAGAGATTTCATGAAACCCGAAACCCTACTGTAACCCACATCCACAGGGAATCAAGAGAGTGTCACGGAATGTCAAACTCCTGAGCCTTGGAAGGTGCATGCCCCGAAAGCTCGCAGCAGCAGGCTGTTTCGGGAGAGCATTATGTTACACAAAATGGGCATTGACTTAGGGAGGGCAGGGGCTCTTGCATAGCTTCGGTGTTTTTTTCTATAGGGGGCGAGGCTGTAGTGTTCAAGCGGTTCGGAGACGACGTGATCAAAGAGGGCCCTGCAGGGCTTCAGGCGACGGGGTCGGGTATTTTCTCACGTGTTTCATTACTGGCCGTCGCTTCGTGCTAGATCTCGCTGTTTGGGCTTATGGTTTGGTGGTTAGGCTGCCTCTTTGCTTCCAGCTGATGAGCAGAGTCCTTCAAAAGGCTACCTCTTTGCTTTTTGTGTTCTGCAAGGACCGTCTAGGCTTTTCTTGGTTTGAAGCTGTGTGTTGGGGCGCCAGAGGAGCCCAACGTTCGAAGCACAGGTTTTCAACCTACTATAAGTGCCTCAATATTCACCTAGTATACTATTCTGAAGACTACTCTGGGGTATCATACTTATAGTATGATGTTGGTCCCCAAACCCTATTCTAATGATTAAGGCCCCTATATTTCCGTTACCAGCCACTCCCGGAAAAACAGGCCCCTATCTTACCCACTGTTC